TGGCCAACACTGTGAAACCCCGTCCGTACTAAAAATATGAAAATCAGCCAGGCGTGGTGGCATGCACCTGTTATCCCAGCTACTCAGGAGGCTGAGACAGGAGAATCGCTTTAACCCAGGAGGCAGAGGTTGCAGTGAGCCGAGATCATGCCACTGCATTCCACCTGGAAGTTCAAGACTCCGTCTCAAAAAAAAAAATGTTTATTGGGGGAGAGGTAAGGAGACTAAATATAAACATGCAAGTATAAGTACTTCATCGATTTCAACTCGTAACAGTACACTTTGATAAAATACCACTAATTAACACAATTATACATCTTAGGCCAAAGATTAATTTACCTAAACACACACACACACACACACACACACACACACACAATCCTAAATGTGTAAACTTATTATGAATTTCATGTTTTATAACAGAAAATATTAAAATTCTTTCTTTAGCCATTTTAAGTTCTAAGATTTCAAAAGAAATAATTTATAATTTATTTTTTACTGTATGGAAGATTAGTATAATACAGGCTCTAACTACAGTTAAATCAGCCACAGTGAAGAAACTATGATCCCCAAAGATTCAGTCACATAAAATACAGGTTGAATTACTGTGAGATTAAAATGATAAAGTCAAGCCTGTACAACTAGCTAGTTAGGTGTCCTGTGCAATTCAAATTCATCTGGGCTCAGGGTGAAATTTGGCACCACCTGGTGGCAACTGTCCACTCTAACCTCAGTATATACCCGATCAATTTTGAGTCCTGTGGCTGGCTGGGGCATCTACATGGCAGCCCCAATCCCAGAAATCCCCTGGTTTAGGTAATGTCTATTTTTACGTGGATAGGGGCCAGAAGAACACTAAAGACAAGGACATCTGCTTTCAGTTTGCCTCCTTCAAGGAATGGCTCTGTTGGCTGTTTCTCCACACAGTCTTACCAACCTACCCTCACCAACCACATTTATGTTATAACGGGATAAACAAATTTGAAGATTTTTTAAGAACTGCAAAAACAGCTAAAAAATTAGAAAATTTTCAAAATGATTACATACCAAAGTTTATACAGCTATGTGGATTGCTTGGGAATAACCATAGAAATTTCCCACAAATTTTAAAGGTATTATATCACTCAGCAAAAGCCTATTAAATCCACAACAGAACTGAACCACAGAATCAACAGTACTTATCTGTAAAACAGAAATAATATTACCTATACCACAGGCCTCTCTAATGCCCACATCTTTCTCTTGAGGCTCAGAATCTTCTATAGTCAACTCTTTTATTTGGCTATCCCACACACACTTCAAGTGAAACAAATAAATTTATCATTTTCCTATTAAAGCTTTGTATTTTCTAATGTTTTACAAACTGCATCACTATCGATGCAGCTGTTTAATTCAGAAACCTCACTGACATCCTTGGTGGGATGAGTTCTCATCCCACCAATCCAACCTAGTCACTGAGTCCTGTTGGTTTTATCTCCTAAACATTTTCCCAACCTGGCCCATTTATCTCATCTTTACTGCTACTAATCCAGTTCCATTATCACCTCTCATCTGGATAATGGAAATAACCTCTAAAAGTAGAGCTTCTTTGTCTAACAGGCTTATGCCATTCCAATCTATTCTCTACATTGCAGCAACCTTTTGATATAAATAGTGATCGTATCATGCCTCTTCTTAAAATCTTTTAATTGTTCCCCATAGGTCTTACATAATGGTCCAAATGCATTATTTGGGCCCATTTCCCATTTCTGTTTCATCTCTTATAACCCCCTGCCTCTCAGTCTATCCTTCGGCCATGCGAAATTAATTTGTTTGTTTAAAAAACTTCATTTTGTCCTACTTCCAGACTTTTATATATGCTATACATTCATTTCCCCAATTCCTTTCCCTTCCTTAGTTCTCAGTGTTAAAGCAAGCTAAATATGGCCTAAGAAGGACTCTGTACTTCTATATTTGAGTCCTTAGGGATGAACTGCAACTTAGCTTGATAGGCAGACAAGATGGAAAACCTAACTTGGGGGTACGCGCCTGTAACAACAGCTGAGTCTTGGCCAATCCCAGCAGCCGTACTTCAATCATTCCTATACTGCTGAGTGTTCAAGTAAGTTAAACACCAACCTATAACCAATGCAGCTGTTTCTGCACCTCACTTCCGATTTCTGTACATCACTTTACCTTTTTTGTCTATAAATTTGTTCTGACCACAAGGCACTCCTGGAGTCTCTCTGAATCTGCTGTGATTCTGGAGGCTGCCTGATTTGCGGACCATTCATTGCTCAATTAAACTTTCTATTTAATTTGTCTGAAGTTCTACTTTTAACAGTAGTTTTAGTCAAAATGGGTAGTTCTTCATTTATGAAGTTTTCCCCAATTCCTCCCAAGGCTAGGTTAGATACACAGATGGTCTCATCTTTTATCCTATCATTTTGGTCACCATCATCATACTTAGGATAATTGTTTCTCTATTCGTCTTTACTCTCCATTAGACTACCAGCTTTGTGAAGACAAAGGTCACCACTATCTGTGACATCTAGAATTTAGCTGGCATACAGTAGGTTTCAATAAATATTTGCTAAAAACATTAATTTGTTGCTCTGAAAATTACATGAGGACGCAAATATAAAACTTTCCAAAATAAAACTTAGCATATAATAGGTGTATACCTCTTCTTTTAGTCTGCATTTTGAACTGTAAGAGCAAGTAATCACAAGGTACAGGATCCTCCTTAATGTAGGGCTGAAACCAAATGAAATTTTGCCAAAGATAAAGAATGTCTTTGGAATTCTCTCTCCAATCTCTTAATAACTCTGCTGCCCTAAGCATGTACATTCATAAAACTGTCATACTTTTGTTATGAACATGAAGGGACAACTAAGTGCAAAAGCAAATGAATCTTAAAATCATAAGGTTATGTGAAGAAGCCACAAAAAATATATGTAATATATAATTACATTTGTATGATACTAATATGAAAAACTAAACACTATTGTAAAGAGATGCATATTTACTGGTAAAATAGGTAATAGAAGTATAAGAAGCAAGGAAGTTACTAGCATAACAGAATAGCAGTTATGGAAGAAAGGAGTTAAATAGGAAGAGTCTCAAGGACATTTCTGTAATGCTACATTGTTCTACTTTTTTATAATTATGTATTAAATGAACACTAGAAAATTTTCTCTGAACATCTTTTATTTTATACATATATATGCAAACATATATATGGTTAAAAAAGAGCAATCATAACGTAACTAAACTAAAAAATAATGCTATTAAAAGAGTGGTACAATATTTCTTTGAGCTACGTGGAACAATATTTTCTCAGGATTTAAGATATGAAGGCTAGCTTAGGACTTCAAAGGCCTTACTTACAGAAAAGATTATGGTGCTCCTACTAGTAATTTGATACTCAAATACTAAAAAAAAAAAAAACTAGGTGTAAAGAAATGCAGAAGTGTTTTTACTTTTCCCAAAATAAAAAATATTATTTTAAAAATTAATATGTCAAAACATTTTTAAAGAAATATATAATTTTTAAAGAACATATATATTTGGTGGTGCCCAAAGCATATTTTAAATTTGTCTACTGCTAAGACAGTACTGAATGATCACTTAGAATTTTTATATTTTGAAATTATTTGCCATTTTCATTGAAAATATAATCCTAGATTATAAATATAACACAATTATTATGAAACGCAAATAAGAGAAGAATAGAAAAAATAGGTGGAAGAGTAAAATCACAAAGTATTTGTTGAATACACAAATGAATCATTTCTTTTGTGCTCAGTGTTTGAAGTTCCTATTAATTTCCTTCGGCCTATACTTCTATGCAGACTCAAAAAAAAGATCAAACAGGTAGATAAAGATCTATGCATGCCAAATTTATGAGGCAACTAATAATTTGATTTTTTATGACTTTCTACTAAGTCATATTAAGCAAACATCCTAAAATAGTTCTGTCATAAATTGTGTATCTACTCCCTTATCACCACAAACATTTTTACCCAAGAACAGAGAAGCCCAAGAACAAAATCATACCTCAGAGGCATTAGGATAAAAACCTCTACCAATCTGCTGTATTAACAATTTAACAGTAATTAAAAAAATATATCTTTGCTAATTTACTACCAAAGGATAATACTACATATACAGTTTTTATAGTAGTGGCCACCTTACCCATACGATATTAATACAGCAGCTTTTTTCTCTGGAATTAAGGGGTGGATATACCAAATTTTCTGCTACTATACTTCTAGGGGAAATGACATGTTACAATGCTATTATAGATTAAGTCTGATTTAAAGCCTTGCTGACAACAATCAAAATATCATATGAGCAAATCAGTGCTGATAAACTAATATCACAATTAAGTCCACTTCAAAATAATTTTCTCATTAAAGTATAATCTTTCAAAAGCCATATTAACTATAATAATGGTATAAAAATAACTGCCACTGAAATAAATAGTGTTTGTTCCCCCCTATTTCTGCCAATCACTAACTACAAGAGCCTAATATTTACTAATCTCTGCATGAATAAAAATGATGTTTCTTCAGGATTACCTAATGTGACATCTTTCAGAGCTAGCAGCTAAATGAGGCATATGTAATATTTCAAATTACTATTCTAGTTTTAAAGTTTTCAGCAGAAATTGTTGGTATAGTACAGGAAGAACTGTTCTCAATCTGAACTGAAGCAAATGCAAAAAGAGAAGTCACAAGGGTTAAAAAAAAAAAAAGACACAACAGAATACCAGAGCAAAAAGGTTTAAAGTCTAGTAAATCTTGTTCTAAGACTTTAGAACTTTAATCTTCACGTTATATTTATATTTAGATTTATGACAAGTTTTCTTTAAGGTATTATAAAAAAGATATTATCTAACAGAAATAGCATTTAATTTCATAAAGCTTCTATAAACTCCAAAGATAAATATAACACTACACAAGCATTTTTTTTTTTTTTTTTTTTTTTTTTTTTTTTTTTTTTTTTTTTTTTTTTACCTGTTTTCTCGTTCATACATTTCCCTGGAAGCATTTCGAAGTTGATCAATCTCTTGGTTGGTTTTCAATCTGATTTGTTCTAGTTCATCATGTAGTTTATTTTCATATTCTGTTTTATAATGGTCTCTGCAATGAATCAAAAGGAAAAGCAATAAATTTTATTTTGAAACAAATAGGCTTTTACACTTTATATAAGATTTTAATATCTTTTATCAAGTATGCTCTATATACTATGTTACTTGAAAAACTTAACTATTAAGTATAAAGTTTTACAATTCTAAAAATACTATTCCTAACAAGTATGATTTAAGATTTCAACCTGTTAAACATTATTTTCCAAAAGACTTACTTACTATATAAAATCTCAGTAATTGACGTTGGATAATTATTCATCTTTGAAACACTTTGCTAGTAGTTTTAATGCATATAGCTGAGAATAAAAAATTGAGAATGCCCTTCATTTAAAAATAATAATCTGGTATGATGGTTGTTGAGAGATGAATAATATTAACAAAAATATAAAACTGAAATGACTCTGAGTCTACAAATCCTTTCCTTTCAAGCGTGACAACCACAGCCACACGGCGATCTTTTAGCAAAGTCAAAGTATTATATAGGGTATGAAAAAGTACTACGGGCTAGGAAAAAATTATGAATGTGTGAACTCTTAAAGGTAAAATTTGTTTCTAGTTTTTTTTTTTTTCTTAAAGAGACAGTGCCTTGCTCTGTCACCCAGGATGAAGTGCAGTGATGCAATCATGTAACCTCGAACTCCTGGGCTCAAGCGATCTTCCTGTCCCAGCCTCTTGAGTAGGCAGGACTACAGGTGCTTGACATTGTGCCTCACTAATTTAAAAGCTTTTTTTGTAGAGATAGGGTTTTGCTATGTTGCCTAGGCTGGTCTCAAACTTCTGGCCTCAAGCAATCCTCCTACCTTGGCCTCCCAAAGTGCTGGGATTATAGGTGTGAGCCACTGCACTTAGCATGTTTGTTTCTGGTATGTTGATAAGAATAATTCAAGGGGCCGGGCGCGGTGGCTCAAGCCTGTAATCCCAGCACTTTGGGAGGCCAAGGCGGGTGGATCACGAGGTCAAGAGATCGAGACCATCCTGGCCAACATGGTGAAACCCC